TGCAGATCTCATAAGGGTAGTAGGGAAGACTCTGCACATAATCTTATCAGGCACATTGTGGAGCTGCATGAGAGACTTGTATGTGTCAAGATGATTGAGCAAGTCTTTGGTGCCATCAAAGATCTCAATGACAGACATCTTGAACTTTGAAGGCAAATGATAGTAGTATAATTTTAGAATTAATCACCAAAGAGTAGGTTGTGCAAAATAATATATTTTTTAAGAGTCCGAGGTCAAACCACAGAGAATTATGAAAAATAAAAGACACAAAAAAAATAAAAATAAATTATTTGAAATTTTTTTGGGTAAGAATTTATCCAACAGAACAAAGATGAGTTGATTAAAACAATAATTGAAATACTAAAGTATCAGGGATGTCCTTTCAAATTCACACAGTAATTATTAATGATCCAATTTTTGAACTCAATTGAGAATAAGCTAAGGAGTGATCCTAATCGGAATATTTAGCGGTGGTAATATGAAAATATCAAAAGTTTTAATTAATGAATTATCTGAATAAATATAAAATTTTATTTGTATATCACAAGCAGTCACCGTGCCCGGAGTCTAAGATAAATCAAGCTTTTCAGCAGGTAAACCTAATTTTATTGCAAATAATAAATCAACCATCTTATGAGAAATTCTAATTAATTAATTTAAGTATGAAATAACCAGTTATTTGACTTGCATGGAATCTCAGGCATTCGATGCACATGGCACAATTAATCAAGAAATTATATAGAGCAAAAACTTTACTAAAAAACAAGAATTAAATTAAAAAAAATAAATCATGCATTAAAAAAAACATTGAATCAATAATAAATATCGTCCTTCATTGAACGTATCTCCCCTAACTTTAGTTGGGCTTTTAGCAAGCCATAGAATTAAAACAAAAACTAAAAAAAAAAAAGATGGAAAGAGAATAATAATTCAAGTAATCTCCTCTCAATAGGTGAGAACCTTTATTTATACTAAAATAAGGCCTAGGTATAAATAGGAGATCTAGGGTAGACTTGGGAGGAATTCCTTTTCAAAACGAAGTCTTTTAAAGTTAAATTTCGTGCATAAAATCTTGGGGCCGTGGATATAAGATATGTTCAGGTTTCGAGCTTAAATTTTGTATATTTAGAGGCGGATTCATGAAATTTTCGTAAAATATACTTTTGTAACCTTTAAAGTCTTCTTTCGAACCCCATAAAAATTAGATTAATAAGATATCAGAGTCAAAAGCTATGACCAAAATACTGAAGACATGTCAAATCCTTTTCTTCCTAATCCAACTTTAAATGAATATTCTTATAATTTGGACTCTTATAAGGGTTAAATTATTGTCTTATCTTCAAGTCTTCATTTCTTAATCTTAACTCTTCAATCCTTATCAATTGTAATTCTTCCTCGTTATTGCTTCACTTGTGTTATCCATTATTACTTTAAGTCAAATAATTTACCAGTAAAATAAACCAAACAATTAGAAAAAGTATCAAAAAGAACCAGTTCGCCTAGCTACCTAGCTACTAGGAGGAAGTCACCTAAGCAAGTAAAGGACAGAAACTACAGCGGATAAGTGCATCGGTTCTTGTTATCGGTTGCCGGAGAAGAAGCAATGACGGTATCTGGGGAATAAGCATCGGCTAACTCTGTGCCAGCAGCCGCGGTAATACAGAGGATGCAAGCGTTATCCGGAATGATTGGGCGTAAAGCGTCTGTAGGTGGCTTTTTAAGTCCGTCGTCAAATCCCAGGGCTCAACCCTGGACAGGCGCTCTGCAAGTTGCCTCAGGGTATTATCTATGGCTGGAAAGGAATGAAAGGCTACATAGGAACAATTACAGGGATGTGGTCACAGGAACGGGGTTCCGATCTCTAAATGGATCTGCGTTTCCTCGGCATGACCAACTACCTCCGCACTAAATATTCATAACAAAGTACTCCCGGTTGATCTTACTCGGGGCCCAGAAAAGAAACAGACCTTTCGATGGGGAGAGGGTCCAGAGCTCTGACACGAGCATCAAGAAAGAAAATGAACAAGATGCAGGGGAGTCAAGACTCAATGACTAAGCATTTTTTCGATTGCAACTTAGAAATGATTGATTTCTTCAACATCACCGATCTTTGGCGCTTATGGGAGGCTACGATGCGTGGGATCAACATCTTAAGTTATGGGGTTTTTCAAAAAGATTTTAGAAAATTAAGGAATGTAACACATTTAATCATAAAATAATATATAATTAACCAATCATTAAATATAATAAAATATCACTTTTGATAGTTAATTAGATAGTTGACAACATCCGCCACAAACGAAGTGTCAATACGCCTTATTAAATAATCCACTGTCTATGGCACCTGTGTTTTGATGGCATTGATGACATCACCAAGATGGTTTTACACCTCCTTAATCTTTTCGTCTTATTGGTTAGGGACATCCTCTGCAAAATCATTTTAGTAGCTTTTGTAATCTGCATACTGGTTCTAACCCTCATTCTCTTGCCCAGGATGGTCAGAAGCTTGTGGAGCAGGTGCCTGAGGAGCGGGGGAGCATGTGGGGCATCTATGCGCTTAAAGGAGACTCCCTGGCGAGGAGGCCCCTGGCGCTGCATGGGGGCATCCTTGTGTTGGATAGAACGCGTTGACACCTAGAGTGGGGAGGTTGTGGCACCTCTTCTATTAGAGGGAGTGGTGTTCCTCCTACAAGTTGAGGGGCGACGCCTCCTGAGACAAGCATCAGTTGGAGAATTTGTTGGTTTTGACTCACCAGTAACTGCATAGTCTCCAATAACTGTTGTCTGACCACAAGATTCGCCACAGTGGATGGTCCTCAAATATTTGTAGGTTTACTTTTGCAATGCGAGGCCTTCTCCCGACAAGCTAGATTGTTGTCTTCGGGTTGTTGATTCATTGATCTGGTTGTGATCGCCATAGATTTGAAAGAAAATAGAAAGGTAGTAGAAAAATTTTATTCGTATCCCACAGACGACGCCAAACTGATGATGCACAAAATACGCTTATGCATAATCAACAGTCGAATGTATGATTCAGGATAATTAAAGAAGCAGTCAATAAAGCAATTAATGAACGAGATAAATATTGGATCAACACAAGCAACACACAAATGTATAGTGGTTCGGTCAGGCTGGTGGTCTTTATTTATGAAGTAATAGGTGAGAGAGAGAAACAAGGGTATGCTCTTGATAGCTATAAGACAGATAATTATGTAAGGTGTGTAGAGAAATGCCCCTCTCATGTGGAGAGTGTTTACAATTTATAGGCACAAAGTCTTGGTTGAGGGGGTGACATGATGGATAGATCACTGGTTCTTCGGGGTAGATAAGTACAACTAGGATAGATATAATCAGAGATAGTGTTGATTCTCGAGAATGGCATACCGATAATTATTTTCCCACGTGCGCTAATATTCTTGAATCCCTTAAACTTTGATCTGGGTCGAATCCATGAACTGGGCCTGACTTACTTTGTAATTAATTTGGGCTTATTTAATTAATTGTGTATGACCCAGTTGAATCTAGACTCATTAGTTTTCATTAGCACTAAATTAGAAATCGATTTGAATTCTAGAGTTTACTTATATAAATTTTAGCAAATACTTGATATTTGGGTAATACTAACAATTTAAATACGTTAGATATATAACTTATATTTTTTTAGCTTGTTAATTCTTTCACAACCTTTTTTTTAATCCTTTATATGAATGATTATGATATGATTTTTTTCCTTTTTCAATTGAAAGTGTGAATATTTTAAAATTTTCAATTTACGCATTTAAATTGTTGTGCATATGTGAATTTTTGCCATAACCAATTAATCACCGTTCATTTAATTTTGTTTCAAAAAAAAATATTTCAATCTCTTGTAAACTTAATAATTCCTGAACTCCCTATATTGTGTAATAAGAAAAAAGAGAGGTCAGAAGGGTGTGTGAAGTAATAATCCACGGCAAGATGAGTTATAAATTATGTACATCGTACGAGACAGTCGTGAATGAATTCTATGAAATGAAGTGTGAACAAATCACTACTACACACAAGCAAAAATGAATCACGATGACTATAAAATAGGAAAGAGTGTACCACAAAGTCGCCAATGTTCATTTTTGGTAGTGATCGACCTTTTTTATCTCCTAGTTGGGACAATGAAGACCGAGACCTAATTGATTGCAATTGAGCCCATTTTACAATCTGTCCAAAGAATAATTATACTTTTCGCTTTTTGAGATTCAATTATTCTTCATTGGGAAGTGATTTGACCTAATTACCCATTATTACCAAACAAATAAAAAACTCACGTACAACTCTAAAAAGATTCAAAGAGGGAGAATGGCTTAGTTGACAAGTCAGCAAAAAAATCCAAATTTTCAATGCGGAAATAGTGGTTTTTTTTAAACCCAAGACACATATTATAAACACAAAATAAAAGTACAAAACAAGAATATGCTTTTTTTTTTTTTTTTAGGGTTTGGGATATTTGAGTTAATTTATGCACATTTCAATTAATATTTTTTTTAATTTAGTAAAAAATAGACTATTCAAATCAAGATAAATATATTTATAAAAAATAAATTTTTTATGATCCGGCGTTTAAATTTATAGTTCATATCAATTGTTATTTGAAGTACGCAAAGGCGTTAAGTAAGAATATGCTTTCTCCTGTATTGTCATAATTGCATTACTTCCCCTCCCCTCCCCTCCCCTTTTTGTTTTTTATATTCACCTGGAACTCCCCTGGCATGTTCGTTTTGGTATTAAATTAATCCTAATTACTGTAATTAACTTTATCGTAGCACTAGATTCTCTATACAACTCTTAAGCCCTCCTAAATAATAAAACCACTCATATTTTGCCACATCAGCTTCAAACAAGAGAAATTTGACGTGTCATTATTTGATTGGATGGTGTTGTGCAGTTGCGTAAACAGGTCAAAATTGGGAAACCCAAAAAAACATATAGGTATTGGGTCAATGAAGAAAGGTGGATAGGGAAAGAGCGAGGAAGCTTAGGAGGCGATTGAACCGCTCTCCCGTTTTCTTTATAACGAAGATAGGTCAGATCTCGTTTTCGATTCTCTCACTCCACTGTTTCCACAGAGAGAAATCAAAGCCTCAGCTCTCTCTCTCTCTCTGAACATCAGCACTTCCACAATACTGGTACTTCCTAACCCTAACTCTGTTTCAAATCTATGTCGTTACACAGTTAAAATAGCGACACATACATATATGTTTCTAGAAACTGTACAGTCACTTCTAGATCTTTTCGATTATTGAATTTGCTGTTTGGTTTAGATTTTTATGTGTCTCGATTTTGTAGTTTTAGATCGTGAATTTATGTTTTGAAATTAATTGATTGCAGGTGAATTGTGTGGCTTTGTCAAATTATTTTGGTCGATTATTTGGGGAATTCTGTTGATTTTTTTGAGTATAAATGGGGAAAGGAGGGGAAAATTTTGGGAAAAGAGAGAATTTAGGGGAAAAACGATCATCTGATCGGGAGGTTTTCGCGGCGTGGTCAAAAGATGTGAGAGAGTGTGAAGAGAAGTTTCAGGTGAATAAAGATTTTGGATTGTCGAGCGATAACGTGGAAAAGTTAAGGAAGATCTATGGATGGAATGAGTTGGAGAAGCATGAAGGGCAGTCAATTTTGCGGTTGATTTTGGACCAGTTTAACGATACTTTAGTTAGAATTTTGCTCGTGGCTGCAGTGGTTTCGTTTGTCTTGGCTCTGTATGATGGTGATGAAGGTGGTGAAATGGAAATTACAGCGTTTGTTGAGCCATTAGTCATATTCTTGATCTTGATTGTGAATGCAATAGTTGGGGTTTGGCAAGAGAACAATGCAGAGAAAGCATTGGAGGCACTTAAAGAGATTCAATCAGAGCAAGCGACTGTGATTCGTGATGGGCAAAAGCTATCCCATTTTCCTTCAAAAGATATTGTTCCGGGGGACATCGTTGAGCTGAGGGTTGGGGATAAAGTGCCAGCAGATATGAGGGTCTTAAAATTGATTGGCCCAACTCTTCGAGTTGAGCAGGGGTCATTAACTGGAGAGAGTGAAGCTGTTAGTAAGACGGTGAAGGCTGTTGCGGAGGATGTGGATATTCAGGGGAAGAAATGTATGGTGTTTGCAGGGACGACTGTTGTGTATGGTCACTGTATCTGTTTGGTTACTCAGACCGGTATGAATACGGAGATAGGCCTGGTGCATTTGCAGATTCATGAGGCTTCTCAGAGTGAGGAAGATACGCCTTTGAAGAAGAAGTTGAATGAGTTTGGGGAGGTTTTAACTGCTATAATTATGGCGGTCTGTGCATTGGTTTGGCTTATTAACGTGAAATACTTTCTCACTTGGGAGAGTGTTGATGGTTGGCCAAGGAATTTCAGGTTCTCATTCGAGAAGTGCACTTATTATTTTGAGATTGCTATTGCATTGGCAGTTGCTGCCATTCCAGAAGGTCTGCCAGCAGTTATCACGACGTGCTTGGCACTTGGCACACGCAAGATGGCTCAGAAGAATGCACTTGTTCGCAAGTTGCCCAGTGTTGAGACTCTTGGTTGTACAACGGTTATTTGTTCTGATAAAACGGGTACTCTCACGACCAATCAGATGGCAGTTTCTAAGCTTGTTGCTATGGGTCCTAGGACAAACACTATTCGATCATTCAATGTGGGAGGGATCACGTATAATCCTTTTGATGGAAAAATACAAGACTGGCCGCTAGGTCAAATGGATACCAACCTTCAAATGATTGCCAAGATTGCTGCTGTGTGCAATGATGCAGGCATTCAACAATCCGGCCAGCATTATGTTGCCAGTGGACTACCGACTGAGGCAGCATTGAAGGTAAGATAATGGGATGATTCTTATCTGGCTTTCAAATGAATGCTTGTGCTTTACATAGGAGAAATCCAATCCGTTTATTTATATCTGTAAAAGAAAAGAAGCATAATATTATATCTTAGTTTCATGTTGCATGAAAGTATGAAACATTAAATTTAGCATATTCCCTGCTTTTTATGTTCTTTCACAAGTCTCTTTCGGAGCATCAGCCTTTTTTTTGTCATTCTAAAAGTTTCTTTAGTTGATGCATAAAAACTTGCCAGTTAAGAAAAATTGAATTGAAGACGGTTTTTGCCTTCTGATTTTTTTAGGTTCTGGTTGAGAAAATGGGACTTCCAGATGGACTGAATTCTGGTTCATCTTCTGGTTACGTCGACACACTGCGTAAGTTATTATTTATATATTGTTTGCTTTTCATTTTTGTTTTGTATGCTGACATCCTTGTTCTTCAATTCCATGAAATTAAGGCTGTTGCCAAACATGGAATAAAATTGAACAACGGATTGCAACTCTTGAGTTTGATCGTGATAGGAAATCCATGGGAGTCATTGCAAATTCCAGCTCCGGGAGAAAGTCATTGTTTGTGAAGGTGCGCCTTGTCTGTTTTTAGCTCTCTGGAGATTTTTTTTTTTATTGGAACATGTTGATTGACAGAAAATGTGATCTTTTGTTTTGCAAGACTTTCATTACTAATAATGAAGGTTACCTACGTAATGGAACAATAATATGTCATGCTACATGTTGATTAACATTTTCTGTCAATCAACAAGTTCCAAGTTTCTTGTTCATACTGCTTTTCCATTACGCCTCTTTTTTTTCCATTTTTTGCCATTTGAGCTTAAATGCGAGAGAGATTAGGGGGGTTTGTTTTGGAGTGAATAAAATAGAGTATTACATGAAAATCTTGAACAACAAATGATTGGGGGGGGGGGGGGGGTTGACCAGGTTCTTGGTTCTTTCCCTAATTCATGCACCTCTGGTATGAAGTAAGCAGCACATCCTTGTATAGCAATTCTGAACAGAGAATAGCTCAAGGAAACTCACTTATTCTGAAGATGAAATTATTCTCTCACAGTTTGAGAAGCTAAGACAGCAAACAGCTCCTCTCACATCCCGAGAGACTAGGATGACTCATCCTTTCAAAGATTTTAAAAGTTGGTCAATAAAAGTCAGGTTAAGGAAACTCCATCCTACACTATATGGTATTGGCACAAGATAGATTCAACATCATAGTTATTGGCATGTGCATTCCACTATCCTTACTAATCTGTGCCTAATGGGTTCCTCCATACCACCATTACAGCATTGGGTTCACTTCACTTTTCAGATTTTCATTGTCGGGTCTCTAACAATTGGACACATCTTGACCCAGGGTTTTAATCTGAAGTTCATGGGTACAATGCATCAGAACATAACTTGAGTACCCAACCTAGATTAAAAAAATAAAAGTGAGCTGCACTGAGTTTGAAAAGGGTAGAATACCTGTTGCTTCAAACACATGCCCACAACACCGTGTCTGAGCAGCATTTTGATTGAGTAGTTTAGCGTAACTCTGGCTGTTGATATGCTAGTATTCAACAAGTGCTGATTCGCTTGCCTCATCCAATTGTTGAAGTACAGCAGCTTTACATAACTTACTTAATTGGTTGACAGAAGGACCAGTCATTGAACTTCAGTTAGATGCTTTTGCAGTCTAGGCTATTAATGGTGCATTTACCATATTACGGTTGAGGAAATATTATGAAGTCTAACAGGTCTGCAATACAACAGCATAATACAGGTCCTGGTAGTTTGTGTTTTATAGAAACTGACCAAAGACATATAATTTCAATAGGATGTTTTGAAGGCTGATCATTCAAATCCACTGCAGAATGTAACAATTTGGGAGTTTTGGGGTCTACATGGGAAACGTCCTCTGTTCAAAAAAGGAAACTGCTCCTTAAGGTCTGCAATACAACAGCCTCATGCAGGTCCTGGTATTGTGTTTTATAGAAACTGACCAACTACAGATATAATTTCAATAGGATGTTTGAAAGCAGATCATTCAATGCTCTGCAGGATGGCACAATTTGGTATTTTGGGTTCTACATGGGAAATGTCTTCTGTATAAAATAGGAAACAGCTTCATTAAGAAGCTTGTCAACTCTAAAATGAAGTTTAAGCAGTACTTCAGACTGTGCCTATAAAGTTAACTTTATGTCACTATCTTGGCATTATGTTTCCATGTAAATTGTGTGCTATGAGCCTATGACCAAAAACGAACATACTCAGAATTTTCATGTAGCAGAACTGTTTTGACTTTGGTCCAGATCCTTTTTTGACATTAGCCTCCCTGTGGAGAGGATTGTTTGGGACTGTTTTTTTTTTTTTTTTGGGGGGGGGGGCTAGGGGGTGGAGTGTTGGCAAATTCAAAAATATTTTGGTTAATTTGTCATCATTTTTTTGTCCGAATCTTGGTCAATGTCATTCATGGCTTGCTTATTAAATAAAATAAGGGGGTCAAAATTTCTCAACGATTTATGGGTGTTTCACTTGTAGGTTTACTATTGCAAGCATGAACTGTGTTCCGTATTGCCCAAGTTTGGAATTCAGTGTAGTCTGTTCTCTGGGCAAATCTAATCGTTGTGGATGTCTGCCACTACATTTTTGTTCGCACCTTTTGCATACATCATGTGTACATGGTTTATACTACCATTTCAGGCTCTTTCTAATGATACTTAAGCTTAAAATAATTATGCCAATGGAAGTTAGGATGGTTCCCCCATGAGTGCATTCTATATCCTCCATTTTTTCTGTCATTTACACACAAGCACATATATCATATACCTATACAGATTCATCTACATATGTATGCATACACACACGTCCCGCGTATTGTTTGTCCTCCATTTTGTGGTTTTTTAATTCATGACTTATTGAATTATGTGCTACATCATTGCAGGGTGCAGTAGAAAATGTGTTGGAAAGAAGCTCCTTTGTTCAATTGCTTGATGGCTCTGTTGTAGAACTGGATCAAAGTTTTAGGGATCTTATCTTACAAAGCCTTAATGAAATGTCAACAAGTGCATTGCGTGTTCTAGGGTTTGCATACAAGGAGGACATTCCAGAATTTGATACATATAATGGTGACGAAGACCATCCAGCTCACCAGCTTTTACTTAATCCAGATCGCTATTCTTCAATTGAGAGCAAACTAATCTTTGTTGGCTTGGCTGGGCTAAGAGTGAGCATAAACAATTGTTGTCATTTTCCTTTTTAACTCTTCAAGTTCTTGTGAGCTTTAAGAAGATGTGGACTGAGCTGAATAACTTGACTTCATATGTCCCAGGATCCTCCCCGGAAAGAGGTTCGCCAAGCAATTGAGGACTGCATAGCAGCGGGCATTCGAGTGATGGTTATTACAGGAGATAACAAGAATACAGCAGAAGCTATTTGTCGTGAAATAGGCATATTTGGGCCAAATGAGGATATCAGTTCAAGAAGTCTGACAGGAAGAGATTTTATGGATTATCACGACCAAATAAGTCATTTAAGGCAAAGCGGAGGGCTCCTCTTTTCTAGGGCTGAACCAAGGCATAAACAGGAGATAGTGAGGCTGCTTAAAGCAGACGGTGAAGTGGTTGCAATGACTGGGGATGGGGTGAATGATGCACCTGCTTTGAAATTGGCTGATATCGGGATTGCAATGGGAATTGCTGGGACTGAGGTATTTATTTTTACTTTTCTTTTGTTCATTATACCTTCTAACAATATCTGGAAAATGCCTAGGAGCCAGCACCATTAAAATGAAAAGCAAATGGTCCATGTGGTATGCTCTTGTGTATAGCGTTTCAGCTTGGTCCAGTTTTATACATTGTCCTAATAGTAGTCGTCATTATTTGGGCATGCATTCTAGAATGACTCCTATTGTAGCTACATTTTGCATGAGGATTCGGTTCCCCACCTTTTGACTTGGTGTTCTGTCTAATTGTTGCCAGAGTAGATCATTTGAGCTGATGGAGCATATTCTTGTTTGTGTGGGGTAGATGCCTTGGTACTTGTGCCTTATTGACCCATTTTTTTTTTTTATCATTTTTATTCATTTGGGTTATGAATTCTTGGGAAATGATACTAACCACAATTTCGGTGATCTATAATTTTGTGCATCTCGTCTCCTTCAACAACCTTTAGTTTTAACCCTTGTTCCACTTCCTTTTTCAGTTCTGTTTTTCTGTCAAGCCTTCCAAGAATTCTTCCTCTTCCTGACAGCTTTTTGTGCTGCAATGTAGTTGATTTAAATTCATTCCTTTGCTTTATATGTATCTTTTCCTTGTGCCAGGTGGCAAAAGAAGCTTCTGATATGGTCTTAGCAGATGATAATTTTGGCACAATTGTTGCTGCTGTTGGCGAAGGGAGATCTATTTACAATAATATGAAAGCCTTCATCAGGTTTGATTTTCTTCTGTGCTTTCTCTATCTTTTAGCAAATTCCTCTATAGGGCTGTTTTGTTAGACCAGCTTGACTGTTTACTTTAATGGGACTATGAGCACTCAATTCATCACAATGGACACATTGGCAATTTCTTTCATATTTTTACCATTTGTTTTGCTAACTTGCATCAATAATTTTTTGGGAAATATATGTTGCAAGATTGCGTTGTAGGAAATCCTATCCATTATATATTATAGCACTGCCTGATGATACTGTTATATAGTTATTCGAATAGTGGCCCTATTGGGCGAAAAAATCCTTGCTCTGCCTTTGGCTGATTGCGTATTTGAGGATGATTATATCTACTTTCTTTATGGAGAAACCTCTGATGAGGAAAAAGCAGAGATATCAAACACAATATTTTGTTTTCATCATCCTTGGGTATTCAAACCCTGGTTTACCTATTAATAGATTGATGCACGGGGTTGACTACTGGATGACATGAGATGGCTGGATGGTTTTGGATCACTTTCTATTTTGATTCCTCGACTTATTAGACTATTTGCGACGGCAAAGTAATGGATTCTCAATTCTTCAGAGCTCAATGTGATGTGTTGAAATATCGGGTTTTTGGAGTCGAACAATTCTTTCTTTTCTGATGGGTTTCCCTTTGCAGATCTCCTTGAAAGGGAAGGGAAATTGTTGCTCCATTTCTTCCACTTTTGGCCGCATCCAGTCTTTGACCTTGTGTAGAATTTGTTTCCAGATTGGGTCCAACTTGCTGCAATCTTAGTTGTGATATACGCAGTATGATTCCTTGGTTTTAGTTTTAATACTAGTGATAATAGTGCTCTTCTGAAAATCATCACAGGTACATGATTTCCTCAAACATCGGTGAGGTTGCCTCTATATTTCTGACAGCTGCTTTGGGTATTCCAGAGGGTCTGATTCCTGTTCAGCTTCTGTGGGTCAATCTGGTGACGGATGGACCTCCAGCAACAGCTTTGGGATTTAATCCACCCGACAAGGATGTAATGAAGAAGCCTCCCCGAAGAAGTGATGATTCATTGATCAGTGCATGGATTTTATTCCGCTATCTGGTATCGTAATTTTATACTTTTTCCTTCTGAAATCAATTCCTCTCAGGTAACTGAATTGTGAGGTAATGTATATAATTTATTGTACTTGCTTTCTCTCAATCTTGATGCAGGTAATTGGACTCTATGTTGGTATAGCAACTGTGGGAGTATTCATCATATGGTATACTCACAACTCTTTCTTCGGCATTAACCTTAGTGGAGATGGTCACAGTGTTATCACTTATTCCCAACTTGCGAACTGGGGGCAGTGCCATTCCTGGGATAATTTCTCAGTTTCACCTTTCACAGCTGGGGCTCAAGTGTACAATTTCGACACAAATCCATGTGACTACTTCCAGACCGGCAAAATTAAGGCCATGACTCTCTCCCTCTCTGTATTGGTTGCCATCGAGATGTTCAATTCCCTTAATGCCCTCTCTGAGGATGGGAGCCTGCTAACAATGCCTCCATGGGTTAACCCATGGCTCCTTTTGGCAATGTCAGTCTCATTTGGTCTGCACTTCTTGATCCTTTATGTTCCTTTCCTTGCTCTAGTCTTTGGCGTTGTACCTCTCAGCCTGAACGAGTGGTTGTTGGTATTGGCTGTTACTCTCCCGGTGATTTTAATTGATGAGATTCTCAAGTTTGTGGGTAGGTGTACGAGTGGATTTCGATATTCAGGTGCAAGGAAACCGTCTAAGCACAAGGCCGAGTGAAGACAAAATCGAACAATCTCAGCTGGGGGATATTTCTACTCATAAGGCAGGCCTCAACAGGCTGGCCGTTGGTCCACCTTGTAAACCTATTCTTAATATACAAGGGGTTGGTTTGGAGCTTGGTGGCTTAGACATGTGTAATTCAGATTAACAGTAGAATTTAACAGGACTTGCTAGTTTTGTTTTACCTTTGATTGGCCTTATAATACTGGGGCAGATCTCACTCCATGTTGGAGCATTATGAAATTATCCATTGAAACTTTCATTTTATATGCCTTTGGTTGTATTTGGTGGATCTAGACATGCAAAAGTTAGTTCGAGGAATGAGAAAGTGATGATGGATCAGATGATATCAGGAATTTAGCATCTTTTGAGGAAGAAATAAGCTTTTGTTTCGTCTTTAATTTTCTATTCCCGGAGTATATACACTATTGTTTGAGGGTATTTGAATCTTGTTTACAACCTTAGAAGAGGTACATAACGAGTGCGGTTTGATTTGGGCAACATGACATTTTTCATGCGGCTATTCTCATGGCTTCTTGGTTTAGGATTTATCCACGTACATGCTGTAATTGGAAGTTATATATACATCAAGCTTATGTTGCTACAACACAGGCAAGGCAATCCTTCTATAGAACACTGAAAGGTTTGGGACTAGTAGTACGTAGCAGCACGTTCAGGACACCGGCAGTCCTTCAATTTACGGAATGTTCTTAAAAATGAAGCAACAAAACGAAAAAACTCAGTTTATGGCGGAAGCATATGACTCTATAGAATAAAACGCAATAAATCGTTCTTCCCATTGTACCAAAATGGCCCATTGCAATGGTCAAGGCAGCTGAGATTCAAATCCTCCCTCTCTCCTGTCATTCTACAAAATAAAATGTACCTAAAGCATACGTAATAGAATATATCATAAACTTACATAAATAAGTCCCTATATATCCTCTAATAATGTCTTTAAGGGTTAAGGGTCTTTTGGATTCATTAAAACATAATTCGACATCACGCAATAAAGTCGGCGGCTTTATTGCTCTCCCTCCAACAACGGGTGACTCTAAAAGAATGTAAGACTCTTGTATTTTTAGTGAAATTTGAATTTGTCCATTGAAGTGCCTTGTATCAAATCAAAATTTTTACTCAAATTTAAATAAAAATTAGAAATGCCCTAAATGCGTATACACCATACATATTATTTTGTGCGCCTCAAAATATCAACTTTTTCATTCTATTGACACCTAAACTCAAACTCAAATTTAAGTAAAAAAAATGAGTAAAAAAACTTAATTTGATACAAGATACTCTAGTGAATAAACTTAAATTTAAATAAAGACAAAGTCAAATTTAAGTAAGGCAAATTCAAATTTAAAAGAAAGTGAAATATGACCATTAAATCTTTTAAAAAAAAAAATCTAACAATTGAAAATTTGAGTAAATATTTGAAAGTTAAGTCTCCCTTCATTTGGCATAAGTTTGAATCAAAGACTAGAACTTATTTTTAGTTTGTTTTTACTTAAATTTAAATTTGAATAAAAGTTTAAGTAAGAAGTGAAAATAATTTTAGGGAATTAGTTTAAATAAGTAGTTTTTAAGAATTTTGGAAAAATAAGTCAAGTCCATTTAAACCTTAACTTTTTTACTAACTTATATAACAATTTTTTGAACAAAAAAAATACTTATTTAGGCTGTTCAAAAAGCTAATTTTATGAGTGTTTTTCTAATTTTTAACGTTTTGTTGTAAGTCTCATATAACTTTCTTATTTATTATATGCATAAAATATTATTAGTAATATAAAAAAATTTTAAATTTCATATTTTAAGAACTATTTATGTAATCTATACATACATATGATTATTTTTTTAGTTTGACACAAAAAAGTTAAAAAAATCAATCTAAACGAACTTTTTTAACTTTTTAAAAAACACTGTAAACAATTTAGTGTGAATTTTACCTTTGGACATTTTT